ATGATGTCATCTGGGCTGTCCGGTGGTGAACTGTTGAAAGCAGGGGCGCGACTTATGATGCCAACTGCGACCTGAGAAGCTTGGTTGTGGGCGTTCATGTTATCAAGATACCAGACCTGCCAAGGCCAAGCGCCCGAGCCAGGTGGCATGATGGTGACGTTCCGATCGGGGACTCGTTCTCTAGCGAAATCTAGGAAAGGTTAGAACATAATGATAGAAGAAAGAATGATTGACATACCTTGGACTGGAATAGCCGCGACATCCAGAGTGGGTGGCGGGCACGAAGGCAGCGACGGCGGCTTCGTCAACATTTTGTTGAGAACGACCTCAAGAGGCTTAGAATAGGGCTCGCCCGACACAGCCAGATGATAGATTCCATCCCGTAGGGCACTCTTAAGATCGCGGGAACAATCATCCCCCCAAATCCCATCGCATCCATTGTTTCCCCCAGAAGGGGTACCGGTTAAATTGCCGACTCTGAGGCCGAGCTCAGATGTGCGATTCGAGTCGACAGCATTCACATTGATATTGTTATTTTGATATCCCAGCCAAAACGCCGTCTTGGTCATGGGCCCTGTGCCCTTGCCGGAGGAACTGGCATCAAAGCCATAATAGAGCGTGACGGGGTCCGGAAAGAGCGGCTGGAGATCGAAGCGAATTGCAGTTTGAGCGAGTGAGTCGATGCATCCGTTATTCCAGAACGAGCAGAACTGAGCCGATACAGTTTGTAGCAATACCATCAATAGGGCGAGGGACCCGAGGCTCAGATTGGAAGGCATATCCGGTGAGTTATATGTCCAGCAAGAGTGACCGCGGAGGCCCTCAGAGTCAGGATAATCGAGAGCAGACGTATTGCAAGTTCATTACGGGGAAAGGAGGTAATTAAAAAAGAAGGGGAGATTAACTGATAAATGTCAACGGAAGCCAGGGAAAGTTAGGGAAACGGGTCCCCGCAATACCTACTAGGGTGTTCTTAGTGAGGGCAAACGAGGCTAGTCTCAGTAAAAACCAAGTAAAAAAAGGGTCTGTGGATGTGTTATTTCACCGGGTCCGAGGGAGACGAATAATGGAGCTTCCGAGAGAACCTTGGGAAAAGGAAAGAAAACAGAATGCCGAGTAATTGCCAAGGAGTTCGGAAGACAAGGAAAGTATTATTTCAAGGAGAGTACAATAGTACAACAGTACAACAGTACTTAGTTACCAAGATATATTTATTAATTGTCCCTCCATTCCTTTGGGAAAAAAGTGATTTGTGAAACTCGGGTACCTGCTGGGTACCTGAAAGGTACTTGATGCATAGTAGTGGATTCAGGGAATGGCTAAGTCTCCTTTAGGTACCCCCTTGATTGGGAAGTGTTATTTTCCACGCTAAAGTCCAATGTCCCCGCATTACTATCCTCAAAGGGGAAATTATCAACGACGATCAGTCACAGGGTAAAGCAGGGTCCAGCCACTTATATGCGACATCTGCCTCACAGGTATGTTGTACGGTGGTATTCGTATTATATCGATCCTTTCTCTTTTCAGAGTTAAGGTCAAAAGATCATCCTCAGATCATACTCAGATCATAGATTTGCATGACCTCATCTTCATTCCAGATGTTTCATATTGGAGGACAGGGTCTATATATGTACATTCTGGACACGGAGTAATAGTACGGAGTAATAGTACACAGTGTTACTACGGAGTAATACTAGTAAACTTCACGTATCATCATGTATATTAGTCAATAATACCAATATGAGATCTGTGCGATATGCAAGACGCCGTGATGCATAGCACCGATTGCCAGATATGTACTGAGTAGAATCCTTGCCTGTCCTCCGATAGGTTTAACAATGCAACAGCTCTGACGTAGGAAGGAACCCGACCAGAAATAATCGGCTCTTGAGAATCTTACTGCGTCATTTGGTTTCGAGGGTCTCAAACGCTAATTCTCATTGGTGTTGGTATCTTAGGTTCGCGTGTTTTCAGCCAAGGGTCCTTGGCTGATTCGGCTGCCCGTTAGCGTGCAAGTATGTGTATCGCGAGACGCCTGAATCCACTTAATCCGGCAATCCTCCGGGGCTATGTATTTATTATTTTCGGTCTTGGTCCCTTCAAAGATGTTTGGGAATAAAATACTGAGGAAAAATCCATGGAATGTCGGCTTACCTACCTAAATCTTCGGTATGCATACTATGTACGGAGTACATATGTACTCGTCGGGCTGAACCTCCAGGGATGTCCTTATCATTTTCTCGGTCATCTTCAATTCAACGAACATAAGAGGGCGGTGTTAGATTGGAGTCACGTAATAAAAAAATTAACAACGAAACATAATGTACTATGGTTTCCAACGATACTAACCTAAAACGACCGCGAGCCAAGACTGGACTGGGAGTTTTAGGACAACGCTATGATCTCAAAATGCCATCCACGGTTTCACAGCACAGCCTGCAGTTCATTGATTAGGAGAGTCTGCGCAATCTATCGCTCTCATGCGCAAGGCTACCCTCGGCAGCGGAGTTGATCAGCTGTAGGACCTCGGGGTTTGCGCCTAGTTCAAGTTGTCAAGTGGGTCATTCACCAAGTACTCCGTACGGAGTACGGAGTAGTACTTTGACAGTACCTTTTCCCGATGACAGCTGATCCACGTACGAACGGTGCACCAATGCCATGGATGTCATCTGAAACTAAGACGCTACCGCCGGCAACTCCACATTGTTGACGCAAAACATGCCACATCTCCTCTCGCCCCTGCAATGGTTCGGGGTTCCATGCTCGACGGGAGCCATCCGCGAAGCTCTCTTTGTAGTGATTGGGGGAGAGGCATTCATTTCTAGCCGCCGTTGGTGGTGACGTCTGCAGCGGTCTGCTTATTGGTGATGGTCTCCATCTTGTCTGTCAGCTTGCTGATCTCCATGCTGAAAACGAATTGATGGTAAACGAAGGGGGTTGAAAACTTAATGATAATCTAACTGTCAGGAGTGGGGAGGCTAGTCGCGTCAGGGTACATAGACATACTTCAACGCTCGTTTCGGCCTCGGTCGATACCAGGAACAAGACACGTCCAACAAAAAGTGATGTCGTTGACACATCGGAAACCTCCGACAGTTGATACTTGATGGTCAGTGGTTGTATCCGCAGCACCTGGTTTCCTCCAATCCCATAAACTATAGACCAGACGGACAGGTATCGGTGATAGAAAACCCCGAGAAAAAGCAGCTAGAGGACAAAGATAGAAAATTGATGCATATTGTACAATTAACCTCCAAATGAGCGTTAAAACATGCCCCTTAATGTACATCCCAGAGGTTTTGCCTCATGCCAACATATAGACATACACAATTTGAAATATCAACAATCAGAAAAGATTTGTGGGAGAGTTTCGATCATATCCCCACGCCAGAACTCCGCGCTTGAAATCAAAATGCAATGACGGGTAGATCACCCAAACAAAAACAAGACAATCCAAACCAGAAAATGGAAGTCGATCACGACTTGTCGTTTTCAATGGAACGGTCCTTGCCCTGCAGCCAGACACGCTTCCAGGTACCATCGGGTCCGAATGCTGCCTCTCGGTCTTGGCGCATACCTTCTAAGACACCGACAACACCACCACTGCGCAGACGCTCAAGGACAATGTTCATGCCCTCCTTGCTCTTCAATACGGCCTCCTTAGTTCGACTCACACCGATGAGCTCAATGGTCCGCTGGATGCCGGCAGTGGAAAGGGACGAGAAGAAACCTTTGCGAGGCTCTTCGTCTTCATGATCACCCGTGCCCTGTTTTTTCTTCCCAAGAAGCTTGCCCTGTCCGAGTCGGGAGCGGAAGGTGACCGTGGTCTTGACACTAGTCTGTTCGGAGCTTTTGTCGACGGCAAGACCATCGAGAGCCAGGCGATCCTCCTCGGATGGAAGTCGCTTGTAGCATTGCTTCTCAACCACGCTCAGGATGCCCGTCCACTCCATATTGCGGGACTCGGTCTCCATCCACCCCTCCTTGGCATCAACAATAGTCTTCTCAAGAATATAGCTCTGACCGGAATTGTCTGAGCCTCCCATGCCTTTCGGTAGAAGCTTTAGGATTCCAGATGGGATCTTGGATTTTTTCAGGTGTAGTCGGATTGTATGAAGACGCTGGGTCTTAGGGTCGACGTATCTGTCGATGACATCTGTTGTGAGGACATGGCGAGAATGAGGATTGGGATAACGGAGGAAATAGGCAAGCGAGACGGCGGGGAATGAGTATTCGTAGGTGAAATTGTTTTCGAAAAACTTCATGATGGCATTCGATGATTCAAGTAATGAATTGATTGAGTAGCAGAAAGAGCAAGGAGTCGTCTGACCTAGTACTTTTTGCGAAGGCGAGTAGAGGTAGAAGTGGGGACTGAAGGGGATGAACAGTTATTCCGAGGGAAATCAGATGCTTAAGGTCACATGTATCTCACGTGGTCCGGGGATTAGGCCTATCACCTGCCCGCAATAGCTAATGTGTATAACCTGTGTATAATTCCACTCTTATGTTTCTGGTGTGATATAAGAAAGTCAGGCCACGAAACGGATTATGTATGCAAAGCTTCAACGCTCCATGCTACCTGCTATAGAAATAAGTACCTGAATGATGCATCGCGTTTTCAGCAGATATACAACCAAAATGATTGGGAAGGGCATGATATCGCAGCTTCTGTTTGCTATCCTATGGCCTACCTAGGTTTGAAGGCAAACAAAGAATCTTCAATTCCTATTCTGACAACCAAATGAAATCCATAATAAATACCATCTGTCACCTTCACCTTCTCGATCTCTCTCTCTACTTTTCTCAGTGCCCCCTTCCCTCTTTACCCTCAAATCAAGCCGGTCTTCTTACAGAACTTGAAAAGCCTTCACTGGCCTCTGCAAAGCAAGCCAATTGAACTTTACCTCCGCTCTGATCATCTTTTCCCTTCACTGTGAACCTATTCTCCATCAAGAACATCAACACTGCCACACTTCTTCCTACGCCTTTCCGATAAGAAAATGTCACCCCCATCTGGCTGTGGTGTGTGCGGCAAGGAAGATGAAGTTCTCCGCTGCTCTGGCTGCAGAGTGATGATGTACTGTGGTGTCGAACACCAGACCACTCACCGCCAAGAGCATAAGTCTGCTTGCAGCGCCATCAGAAAATGTCGTGTTGCTATGGAGAAGGAAGAACAGGCCTTACGGGCTCTTCCAGATAATCCCTACACCTATGGCGTCGGTAACTTCTGGAAGATCTTCGAGACACGTCCTTACATGCAATCCCGCGTTGCCCTGTGCAATGCCATGAGCAATATTCCGAATGCCGAATCACTTGGAGCACAACTCGACCTATTGATGGAAAACCTGCGACTCTGCCGAACTGATAATATGGGCTCGCGAGACGTCATTCCCGGCCTGATGGTTCGTTGGTTCGTCTCCAGCAGGACCAGGAGTGCTACGACTTTTTGAAGTGGTGGGCTACGACCGGCCAGGATCCCAATTATGATTGGGGTAACACCACTCTGCCGTACCTCGATATCAGGAACGCCAATCCACTCGAGCCAGTCGATATGTTCCGTGGCAAGTCGTTTGATCTTCCCCATATCGTTTCTGTGACTCTGGTGAAGATCAAAGTGCTTCAAGTGATCCTCACAAGCATGAAACCTACCGATGAAGGTGTTGCCCACATGTTGGGACTCAGAAAGAAACCTTCGACTATCGCCAAAAATCCCAATATCGCCAACTGTGAGGACAGATCGCTCACAGGTGTGAAGCTCAGGGCTCAGATTCGCGCTTTGTACGAGGACGTCCATAAAATAAACCCCCACTTTTGGCCGGCTCTTGTGGACCCGGGTGAACACTTGGAGGCCAAAACTACGATGTTTTCGATTGGGAGTGTGGAAGAGATGCGAATGATCCTGAATCTGACTTATGAAGCATGGCAAGATGCTCCTGGGGCCATTGCTGTTATTCAGATGGCCATGGAGGATAAACTTTGATGGAGTTTCCCACCGACGACAGATATTCCGAGGTGATGGTGACAGCAGTCTCCAAGTATTACGCAATCTAAGTTCAGTTGCCTGTGATGAAGGGTATTTTCTGCGCAATTAGTACGGTGCGTTCTCGGAATAGCCTTTTTAACGATGAAATTTGAGGTGTTCTATCAATCTTCCCTTCGATAAAAATCAAAAGGAAATGGCTATGTATCTAAAAAATGAAAATGGTAGAATATACCTTCCTGGTTATCTTACGTGTCGTCCTGGCCCTTTCCGTAGAGGAGCCAGTAGCCCCTACTTTTATTTATATATAAACAGGAATTGTTCATCGCTTCGATGGCCGTTATACTACACGATGTAGGACTTGAATAATCAGATTTGGCTCGCAATGACAATGATAAAAAGGACAATATATCAAGATAAAATTACAGTGCCTTTCATTTTTATTTTTATTTTCAGCTAGAAGTATGAAAACGATTGACCATGAAATGAGAAATCCACAAGGTAAAATGCTCAATTACTTGTATAATATGTGAGATAATTTCGAATTTTGACGGCCATTATAACCCTTTAGCTCAATAGGAAAACTAGATTTAAATATTTATCCAACTTGGGCCTCTTTGTAAATATCGTCTCCTAAGCACGTGTAGGTCCACCTAGCCCCGAGCTTCATCTGTGGAATTTGGATCTACCCCTCACCCTGGAATAACTACATTCATCCGCAACCCACCATGGGAATGAAAGCTCGCTGCCAATGTGGCAAGATTCAATTCACAACACCGACAGATAAACCTCTGAAACTTTGGATATGCCACTGCACAGAATGCCAGCACCAAAGCTCGTCCGCGTTCGGCATCACCGCAACATTTCCGTACTTCGAGCTCCCTGAGTCGGTCTCTGGTTTGGTCGGCAGCTACACACGTCTTACCCTGAAGGGGCGCGATATGGAGTGCCTTTTCTGCAAGGAGTGTGGTGCGCGGCTTTTCCATCGCTTCCGGGATGCTGTACCTGCGCCTGGCGAACAGCCCGAGTTTTCTGCAATTACCAATGTGAAAGGTGGCTGCTTGGAGGATCTGAACAAAGAGATGCTGCGAACCGCAGTTCATATCTGGTGTCAAGAGGCGATTATTGATATCCCCGAAGGCGTGGAGAAGTGGGATCAGGGACCCCCTCAGCCAAATCCCTTGGTGACTTAGGTCTCTTTGTGTTTGAAAGCGATGTGAAGCGTATCCAAATTGATTCATTTGTCTATTCTCAAGTAGTTACAAGAAACATGTGTATGTCGTAAAATAACTATGAACAATTGGGAGAGAAACACGGCCATATGTATACTCCTGTCAACGAGCTGCCCAAGATCTTGCAGTTTACCCAACAATAGATGTCCAGCCATTATCAATAGCGATGCTCGCGCCGTTGATCTGACCAGCACCCTTTCCATATGTCATGTTCACACAGAACCCAGCAACCTCATTCACATCGACGTGGGGAGCTTGAATGGAATTGAGGATATTTACCATCTTCTCATAACCCTCCATATGCATCCCATTGCTAAGCGCATCAGCAATGTTGGTTTCCATGCCACCCATCATCAAAGCGTTGCACTTGATGCCCTTGTTGCCGTAGTACGCAGCAGTATTCTTAGTCAATCCGACAAGACCGTGCTTGCTGGCAGTATAGGCAGCACCTAGAAGAATTAGTTAATGTCAGATCTAGTAGCACCCCTCACTTTGGTTATAACATACCACTAGCCCATCCAGCCTTTCCGGCAACCGAGACAATATTAATAATGCGCCCATCAGGCTTCGGCTGCGCCAGCATGTTGCGGACAGCCAATTTGCTCAGCAAAGCCGGGGCAGTGAGATTAATCGCCATGATGCGATCCCAAAGCTCCATGTCCAGATCGCCAATTGGGTCGAAGCGGTCCATGATGCCAGCATTGTTGATCAGGACATCAATTTTGCCGAATTCGCCAATCAGCGTTTCAAAAGGCTCTCCACTTCGTTGGTCTTGGTGATATCGGTCTTAATGGCCTTCAGGGGCCCCTTGGATGACAATTCAGCCAAGGTCTTTTGTAGACGTTCCTCGTTCACATCGCAGATTACAACGTTGGCGCCAGCTTCGAGGAATTGGGTTGCAATTGCTTTGCCTAGGCCGCCGCCACCGCCAGTGACGAGACATGTCTTTCCCGCAAGGATTTGTTCAGGCATTGTGAGTGATGATTATGAATAGATAAAAAATAGTAGTATGAGTGAGTTCTCAGCAGCGTCAATTGGAATCAAGACTGGGCCTCGTTTAAATATTTATTCTCCATTTTAGCGACGGATGGCCTTCTACCCGCTTTCCGCTCACTTTGGACACGGTGGAATCCACTTTGCGCTTGATAGCGTTGGCTTAGGCGGCCGGCTTTTCTGGGGTACGGGCGGCCTTAAAGATATCGGACCACCCATGGCAGCTGGCGTTGCCGAGTGGTAATGTTGACCAACGGATACGGATACGGGTAGGAGTGAGATGCGGGGTGTGTACATGTTTATTTTAGAATTAGAACTGTACAGCATTGTATATTGTATAAAACTGTAGAGGATCAAGTTTAACCAAGAGACTCAGACAACTTTGATATATTGAAAGAAAATCGAGTTCGATTGAGGATTTAAGCTTCTTTTCGTCTGTGATGGGTTGGCCTATAATGTGACGTGTAATACACATCCAGGTACCGGGTGTAATATTCACTTGATGTCCCTCATAGTCACGTGATCTTGATTCCCGGAAGCGTGTCTATCCGAGAGCCCTAAGCCCTTATTTCCTGTTTAGGGCGTATCTATATCTATACCCGGGCTTCTAACCTGTATTACATCCCCCTACATACATTGTAGTATGCAATTAACTATGGCTGGAGTAATTCAGAATAGAGTTTATGAACAGTGCTCACTCCCACACTATCAACTTATGTTGCGTCATCTTTAAAGCCCGTGGATGCGTGTTTGGAAGCCTCTCGATGGGGGAGCCACCAGCCTCCATGAGCTGTGAGGTGAGATATCTATGTACTCTTCGTGGTAGCTCGGCTCACATTAAATCGATGGGAAATACAAGATTTCAAGAGTCTTCATTCATAATCTAACTACCATAGAACCTAGGCCCCAGAGTCCTCTTTACTCAACTTCCTGCGTCTCTTGTGAATATATGTATGGATGTTGACCTTGAGGGAACATGCGCGTGATATCCTTGCTGTAGTACATAAGAATATCAGAGTATTCATGTCATGCAGTAGAGTATTTTTCGTCTAATTCACCTATAAAGTACATATCTAGGTAGATATTAATAGAATGCTTCTGCCTTCCTATTTCTATTAGTTACAGTTCTCCATGCTTGAGCTTACAGATCGTGTAACATATGCCAAACCTCCGGGTCTGCTCCACGCACCTTATCGAAATGGCTAATTGCCACTAATGATTTCATTTCAAACCTTATCAGGTCAGTACATGTGCATGGACCTCGCAAGTACGAGGAAATCGCACACACTTCAAACCTTGATGTCTAAATGACACAGGATGCCCGAATCAAGGACAACCAGAGCCGAGTGCAAACTAGAATTGATGCACAATGACGCCCACCGCCATTCCGCACTACAGATATCCTTCGAGAAAAAAATCGAGAAATCGACAGATCACGCAGTGGCGGGGACGCGCAAAGCCAACTGGCGGTCTGAATCTACGATCAACCCCCCACTCCCAGCGCCGTCAAATCAGCACTAAGCTCAAATTACCAAGCCACATTAGATCGGCACTAGATCCCACCACCGGTGTACATCGTATATGCCGAGTTTTGTCGAGAAGGGCGGTATAATGTGAAAGTTGGTCCATCGAACCGATATCGGTGATATCAACAGAGTTGTGGCTCTTTTTGGTCGGGGACAGAAATATCGCAAACTTTGTTTTGAATATCGCGCCACTCAGTTCGGGGATCTTAGGGCAAAGAAATTGTTTTAAGTTAACTGAGGTACCTACTAGCCCGTGGGGAGGCGTTCGACCTAGTGGGAAAAGTTTATGCGGAATAACATGCGGTATGGACTTGGCCAATTGGGTCTTGTCTTGGGGCTGGGGAAAGGTAGTGGGGAGGAATGGATTTCATATTTAGCCCCTAGAGATTTCATTGTCGAAAGTTATATGAAGAGAACAGCCCTGGGGCTAGACTTTATTTTTAATATGGAAAGTGGAGAGTGTGTTCTACTCTTTTTTTTTCAACTTCACTATAGCGAACCTTGATCGTAACCAACCGTGATCATGTTTGTGTGTTTCTTGTTAGGCAGTGCTGTGGCCTATAACATAGTCATGATTATTTATCGTCTTCATTTTCACAAGCTCAGCAGATTCCCAGGGCCTCGCCTTGCTGCCGCAACAGGGTTATATGAGATTTACTTTTCTGTCTGGGGTCCTGGGATTTTTGAGCATGAGATTGACAATATGCACCGAAAATTTGGTATGCCATCTGGTATCCATATAAAAAAATCCATTGAATCTGACCCTTCCTAGGTCCTGTTGTTCGTATTACTCCCGATGAGGTTCACATCCAAGAGCCATTCAGGACCTCCAGTTATTCCGATGACTGGATCAAAGGTACCGGAGAACTGGAATCGGGCCATTACCAAAGTGGCAGCATCCATAGTTTCCAGTACAAGAGACCATCAATCTCCCGAGCACGATCCCTACTCCGGGTAGAGGTCAATCATATTATCAACACCTTGATCGAGAAGCACCAAGTGCATAGAATGTTTAATTCAAGGCTTGGACTATTTCGTGTCTCTCCATGGAGCGAGAAGAAAGTTCAGCCAGTCGGGGATACTTCGCAAGATACTTCGCAATCTAAGTTTACCCCGACACTTTGATATCTCCGACATCATCCCGTATTCCAGACTCCAATGTGCCAAGGTGGAGTCAACCAAAGCACTCGAATGAATGGGTTCCGGGATTGACACATGAATGTTGACAAAGACCCGATGAGAGTTGAGCTTGCAAATATATAATTAACCCCGCGAAAATGTGGAGTTCAGCTCTTTTTGAGGCGAGTGGATGGCAGTTCCACCAACAGCATGTTCCATCCACAATCCGACATGAAGCATTTTTCAGAGTTTAGTGCATCTCGACAGAGTCGGGCTTTATCGGGACATAAAAATAACAAAGAACAAGAACGAAGGACAAGAGGCGAGAAAGTTAACCTTGGGAAGATCCAAGAGTCAAAGAAAGTAAGAAGCTTTTTTTTTTTGGTTGAACGTCTAAACGCCCCGCTTCTCCGATTCTGCCCTTTTCTTTTAAGGAAGCCACTTAGCGCGATCAATTCCTCGGATTTTTGTCATCTCGCATCTCTGCGCACACATCTCACATTCATTGAATCGTCATGGTATGTTCGTCCCCGTGTGCTCTTTACGAGTTTCCTGATCCACTGCAAGCCCAGGGCATCGCGCAGATCCCTGCAGACCGAAACACAACGCTAACACAATCGCGTCTAACAGCCTCACGCCGACTCCTCCTATTTCATGCCCGGTAGCTCCAAGGCCGATATATACGAACAGCTCCTGCTGTCAACACAAGGTCTTCTGGACGGCCAACGGAATTGGGTCAGGTAAGTCACGACAGCACCCGTGGACAATCACAAATATGCGCGCTTCGACAACCGCGCGAACCCTGCAAAGGATGATCGCTTACGACCCACCAGCAACCTCTCCAACGTCTCTTCCCTGCTTTGGCACGCTTATGCCTCCCTCCCTGCCCCCTCTTCATCCGTCAACTGGGCTGGATTCTACATTCGCGATGACAAGTTCCCGGCTCTCGCATCCCCGGTCACCTCGCCGCCATTGCCTGGTGCACCCAGCTCCGGTGGTGTGATTATCTCAACCACATACTCTTCTTCGGAAGACCAGCTTCTTCTCCTCGGGCCCTTCCACGGAAAGCCCGCATGCCAAGAAATTCGTTTCGGCAAGGGCGTCTGCGGCACTGCTGCCGCGAAGCAGGAGACTGTTATTGTTCCTGATGTTCTGACCTTCCCTGGACACATTGCATGCGATGCAGAGAGTCGCAGTGAGATTGTTGTACCTATCTTGGTTAATGGAGAGGTTAGTACTCATTCCCTAACGACCCTGGCGCATTCCCTGGAGATACAATTAGGGTTAGAGGAACATACTCACATTTTCATCGATAGACTGTCGCCATTATTGACATCGACTGCACCGAGCCTTCTGGATTTGATGAGGAGGACAAAAAGTATCTTGAGAAATTGGCCGCCTTCCTGGCTGAGAACTGCGACTGGTAAAAGCAAACATAATCTTTTTTTTATCTTTTATAATGCTTACGAAAGACACGGGCTTAAAATGAAAATGTTCGGTTTATGATTATCTATCTGAGTGGTTGCTGTTAGCTATTTGGGCGCAAAGCCTGGTAGGATTTCTTCCTACTTTCGCAAAATTCTACCCATGCGTTAGCGACTCATGAACAAATAACTTGTCATGGCCACTTTGCCGGACCTAGTTCTACGTATCGGGTATATTAAATCCCACCAGAACGAAAACACGTTGAAATCCGACCTTAGTGAGGTCGGTTTGCTTCAACACACCCAACAAGTATGTCTTTTCTATTGGAAAGTTGGCGGGAATCAAGGCTCCTAGCAAAGTAATATGCCAACATTTGTGTTGCATAGACCGTTTATGAAACATGCAACATTGACAAGGGGGCGAATACCTGGTGTGCTCAAGGTTTCATGCGCCCACCTGTTCTCCTTGGACGGAAATAACCGAAGAATTAGTCGAAGGTCGCATTGGGGACTGAGCTCTTGCGCCTTGTAGATCTGTGCTAGAGAGATATCGGTTGATATGGTGGATACGATCGGGTAATTTATTGAATGTGGAGTAAGTGAGCCTACTTCTGGATCTGGTTGATATGCTGTAACCTATAAGGTCAAAAATCTGCACGCTACGGCAGCTAAGTATACTCGACCAATAATATTTAGACACATACCCCAAAAGTGAATCAGATTGACAGACCTAAGCGTACTAAAGCAGAATATTGGGGTAAGACTAGGATAACGCTTTGTTCAGATGCCCCCCCAAACCCTCACATCAATAGTGTATTGAGGCTATTCGATGACTACCTCTCCTCTCTTCTAGTCAATCCTGGTCGGATAAATGGTTTCAAAGTAAGTGCTATTCTTTGAATGGCCCATCCACCCAAGAAGAGCCGGATGAGAAGCGAACGAGGAACAAAAGTGAAACCCCAATCACCAACATTCACTAAATTGTTGCAAGTACCATTCACAATGGACCTAGTGAGATTGCTATCGTGCCCGCAACAGCGGACGACATCCCAGTCATCCTCAATATCCTAGATGCCACGGTTAAATGGCTAGTATCGCGTGGCGAAACCACGCAGTGGGGAACAACCCCATTTTCAGAGGTTCCACAATACACCAAGCAACTCGAAGAACACACAACAACCGGGCTTGGAATTTGGCTCGCTATCAAGGTAGCTGATGGGACACCAATAGGCCAAAATCAACACTCCAAAGGTATGAACGAAGGAGCTCCACGGACTATCATAGGAGCACTTGCTATTGGAGAGAGGGGATCTCATGTACCGCCTGTCTCTGAGCCTGAGCTTTATGTGCGATTTGTAGTTACAGATCGACAATGGGCTGGGAGAGGAGTTGGCAAACGCCTTTTGGAACATGCTCGTGATATTGCCAACGAGGTTGGAGTCACATTACTACGGGTGGATTGCTATGCAGGTGGCAACGGCAAAGCGGTCCAATACTATGAGTCCCAAGGATTCAAGCAATCTGGAAACTTTAGGCTCGAAAGTGGCTAGCCTGGTCAAGTACTTGCTCGGCAATTACATGAGGTGAAGGGAGAATAGAGATATTGCTTAATGAACCCTTCGATACCACTACCTGATTAACTAGCTACCATTCTCAATACAAGCATAGTAGTGGCAACAATCTGTATAGCTCCTCCTACTTCAAGTAATAATCCGCAACATATAGACGCAACGTAATGTCTACTATATATGCTGGTAAGTATTGATGCTTAAGCTATGACTATACTCTGCCGTTCAAGATATTCGTGTGCCTTGAAAGGGTAAAGAGCCGAACACCTAAGCTGAAGCAATCCCCGGGGCTGTCAGGCTAGTATGCCCGCAGGCCAATATAAAAATGTCTCTAGCCAGTTTATGACATTCTTCGCATACTAACTCTTATTTGTGTTAGCTACTCTTCTATCTTTTGAAGAATCTGCAGAAAGAAGCTATCTAAACATATAGTCCTAAAAGAAGAAAGGAATTAGAGACGTGAGAAGGGAAAACGTCTAGATACCTTCAAGTCCCAAATCAACTAACGGTTCACCAATAGTATATCCCACCACATTACCTAGATCTCTTACCTATCGCCTCAAATTTATGACAAACAACATATATAAATTCGAATATACACTCGTTATTACCTTTAGTTACTTTTCGACTCGTTTGACTCTGGTTGCCGCTTTCAAATATCGATAGTATATCTATTGACTGGAGACATAGTTAATCTGGCTATATGCTGTGTGATGGTAACTTCCCAAGCGGCGAGAAGCCAGACGAGCTTTATTTCAAGCTTTCTTAATTAGTGTCATAGTGTCAATCATAGAGCTATTTGCAAGATGTGTGCATGCCGACCTGGAGGGACTGACGGTCAATAGCCTTCCGACGCTACTCGCAGCCCAACGAAAAGTAGAAATACTCACAGCGAGCAGAATTTGGGAAAATCACCACCATTCCAGATCAAATTACAGCATTCAAAAGTATGACAAAAGCAAGTCACGAAATAAAATCATAGGCGACCCGCCGAAGGCTTTCTATTTAAGCCGTATAGGCAATATATCATGATCTATCGACGTGATATCCAAGACGGACAGTTAAACGGAGTGTTTCACTGCCCGAGATATGTCGGAAACAACATAGGTACAATGCAAATCATACACCGAGCGAACCTCATCACGCTGGGGTTGAGAAATGAAAACAAAAGAAAACACCGAGACCCAGACGTTAAAAAAAGGTATAGAGCACAAAAGGAAATCGAAAATCGCTAACATGCACAAGAACATCACATATTGAGCAAGCTCATTTGTCGACGCATGGGATTGGGCGACAGAGCATCCCCATCTTCACTGGGACCGATGCCGCTATCTGTGCCAGCAAGTACGGTGTCCATATCGATGTCCCACTGTTCATCTTCATTGGGATCACTGTTTAAATCCGCATCGGCATCGCCACCATCCCAGCTCTTCTGGACGGCGCCGCGGGTGTTCCACCGTAGAGCACGCTGGACGCTTGTGAACCATTCGTTGTTGTTGGAAACAACTGTTGGGAATGGGTACTGGCTAGCTTCGACAGTGACGTAGTCGCCCTGGCGAAGTTCGACGCGGCCCTTACCGTCAAAGGAGCAGTAAGCGGTGGACCGAGAGGATTTAGGGACTGCAATGCGGAGGAGGTGGGAGTCTGAGAGGACCATTGGGCGGAAGGAGAGGGTGTGTGGGCATATTGGAGTAAGGAGGATGCCAGGGATGGATGGGTGCATAAGAGAACCGCCAGCGGATAGAGAGTATGCCGTGGAACCAGTCGGTGTGGAGAAGATACAGCCGTCTGCTTGGACGACTGTGAGCAGCTCGTCGTCGGCGTAGAGCTCTAGGTTCGATACATAGGGGGATGGGCCGCGGTCGATGACGAGCTCGTTCAATACTTCGAATTGTTCGCCCTCTTCGACCGCGCCCGCCTCTGCTCCCTTGCTCCGGTCTTTCCGATATACGGTACATGTGAATCGCATGCGTAAATTGACGCGCATGCCCACCTCGCCCATAACGGCATTGAGCTGTGATTTGTAGTCGGAAAACTCGAAATTTGTCAGGAAGCCCAGGCTGCCGAGCGAAAAGCAGAGCACGGGCGGAACCACGCGCTGAAAGAGCCAAGATGTGAAGAGAACGGTACCATCACCACCAAGCGTCAGCACCAAGTCGAATTTATCTGGTGATGTCCAGCAAAGATCCGGGGTCCAAAAATGTAACATCTGCGCAAACATCGGGTCTTTCTGCAATAGGCCCGGAGCATCAAATCGCTTCGAATTTCGCAGCTTCGCATCCACGTAGACATTGACTCCTAATTCATTTCCGTATCTTGAGGTCGAAAGCAGCCACTCGGCAACTTCCCGAGTCAAGTGCACCAGGCTGTTATCACGCGCCTTAGTGACAATCATGACATTTCGCACCGCCCGTTTGATAGGTCGGCGCTGTAGTTGCTTTGACACTTCACGGACTCCAGTTGCCGTCTGAACTAGTCGCGAATGGGACAGCCACTCGTCGTCGGCAATCTCCTCCAACACCTTTTTTATGTTGACAGCATCATCGAAGCGCTGATGAAAATAACATGGCGATTGCAGTATTAGGCGTGCCGTGGTAGGTGATCGATCGAGATACCCGCTCAATTGAAGATTTGATAGTGCGGTAGAGAGGTTCTGGGAGGAAGCATTGCTCCCCCGCCGTTGTCGGATGTCGGAAGGCGGGGAAGCCTGGGTGGATTTATTCGCGAGCATACTCGACAAGGAACTCGTCGACATATTGGTGTTATTGCCGAGGATCGAAGCCCGGGAGGCCAGGGCTTTCAAAATTGTCTGTCGCGGTATACAGTCGGTTGACAACGCTTTCTTCGATCGCCGATTAATCGACTTCCGGCGGAAGGACCGTAATGTTGAGGAAGGCAGCGACAAGCCTGCGTCCTCCTCCTCAGTCGATTCTGATATTTGTGTTGAAAGCACGCTGTTGATTCCTTGAGGGAGATGTGGGCGATCCTGGGTTGTTATGAGAGCATCGCGAAGGAGCACCGCAGTTGGGAGTGGGGCCTTCGGGGATAGAGAGGGGTGAGATGGATGAGATAGAGGAGATGGGGGTTGCGTGGAAACACTCGAGAGTGTGTCAGATTGTAGATTATCACGGCTGGACGCCATCGGCTTAGGCGGGTAAATAAGATGGGGGGGAGTACTCCGTAGGGAAAAAGAGCTCGGATGTAACGGGGATTGCGGATCCGAAGTCTTGAGATCGCAGTGTCAGTCGTGGACCCAGTTGATATTGATTCTAGCGTCTTCCACAATCCTTTAGCTTTTTTGGGGAGGGGAGGACGAGGATTTGCTTTTTCTTTTTTTTTTTTTGATATGTCGTATATTGACAAGGATGCGAATAAACTTGAGAGAGGAGTGATTTGGTAGGGTAAAGATTGACAAAGTGCAGGGATACACCTGGGCAGCGGAAAAAATAAAGGGAATCCCTTTTAGGATAACCACGGACCTCAAGAATCACACTAAATTAGGAAATTCATTAGATTGGTGGTTTATTAGTTTCTGACATTGGCGAGATTCCCCAGAAAATTCTATTGGTGAGTTTAACTAGCCTAGTAATCGCCAAATGCGTACACTCGCGCAGTGTGCTCAGATAAATGACGTTTACACTGTGATATCAAAGATACAGCATGATTCAAAAGCTAAGAGGTATTCCATGGATAGTTTGGTATTTGCTTTTGGTATTACATTCTCCATGCTCCATGCTACTTGCTGTCCTTGCCAGAATGTCGATTAAACATGTATTCCTTCCAATCCTGACTCGAACTGGGCCATGGGTTCATCATTCTGGCTGCGCCTGTTAGGAGTCTGTAGTTCCCATCGTCTACCGCTAAATCACTTGGTAAGATTGGGCGACCCAACCCCGTTCAATATCAAAAGCCGACGGGGGCCATCCAGAATCCAACAGTGGGGGGAACCCGAAAACAAGCCTCAGATGCAGCAAGGCTGTCGCTTGTGGTAGCGGAATGAAGCGGGTTGTACATGCAGCGGCGGTCAGGTGACGGTACCTTAACCGGGTGTCGTACTCGATCAATTGATTTGTGGCACCGTCGTGTCTCTAGTCGAGGGGGAGATATAACGAGTGCTTCAGGGAAGTCATGTGCACTAGAGAAGGCGACCAGGGGCCGGCCGATCAACCTGTCCTATTTTATCGCGTCTCACCAACCCTCCGAAAATTGGCCGTGGGTGCAGTCCGTCTCAGATAGAGTCCAGCTTGTAGGCGTAGTCGCTGTAGATCTGGTCCTCCACGGTCTCCCGGATGAAACCGTTCAAACTGGCGTTGGTCGTTCCTTCGCCCATAGTAACGTCGCCATCGTCGCTAGCGGTTGTCACACCCTGACAAATGGAGAGCGCACGCTCACGGACAAGTTCCCAGGTATCAAATCCAAACCGACCCTCGCTTTCGTTGAGCAAAAGGTGATTCTTTGAGGAGATGGCAAAAACATGGAGGGACACAGCAGCCTTGGCGGCAGTCGGGGAGGGGTCCCGCACAATATCACCAGACTTGGTTACACCGAGGAGGGTTGCGGAGAAGGTCATCGACAGAGGAACGGAGGCAGATATCATAGCGAGCAAGGCAGCATGCAGGAGAGCCGGGAGGATAGTAAGGTACTAGATAGATCAGTCTGACAGTTCGACACAGTGCAAGGCGAAGCGAAGCTTTGGAATACTCACAGAGTCACCGCGTGCCACGTTCTCTCCTCCAACAATAGCCAAGGTGAGGACTACGCCGCGACGGGGGAAGCCCTTCTCCCGCCCGAGGACAATTTTCCCTAGCACAGACCGCAGGATTCCTTCGACATATCTTTCACCGACGCCGGCAGTTGTCGTACCAGGTTTGACAAAGACCTCCACCGTAGCTTCTTCGGGTTTCAATGCGTCACGGCGTGCTGGGAGCTCAATGGGCGCGTTGACTGCACCCAGAATGCTGTAACCGGTAGCTGGGCATTTG